GACCGATTCGAGAGTGTACTCACTTTTTGAGTACACAAAAAGTCATCATCTTTCTAAACAAATGAAGTCTTACATCATTGGGATCAAGATTTGATTGTTGAGCTATAGCTTCTCGAACATCTTTAACAGTATTTGTTACAGGTAAACATAAACCAATTTGTAATTGTTTAGGTGATTGATTAAGAAAAACAACAGTTATAAAAACAGGTTTAATAATTTTTTGTGGTATTGGTAATGATAATAATAAATATGGTTCAAATGTTTTACTTTCTTGTTTACATTGATTACAACGTAAAGTTGAATGAAGTTGAGCACTAAATGTTGATGTTATAATACTTTGATTAGCATCAATATATTCTGACCAAGCTCGATGAGCTAATTCCGATGAAGCTATTGATGATGATGATTGAGATGATATAGTTGTAGAAGATAATGAATTCTAAATAATAATTAAACAAAAATAAGAATTCAAATTTTTTGTTTTAGTTTTCATTTCTTTTAATATTAATTACCTTTGGTTTTTGTCGATATCGTTGAGCAGTAGCTAAATTTAATTCATCATGAATTGTATTTATAAGAAATAATAAAAATTCTTGTGCATCATTTTGTTCATTGCCTGAATATTGTTTATTTAAATTTGAAATAATTGATTTAAAATCATATAATAATTTTGATGTTGTATTTGATGAATTATTCCATAATGCTTGAAATATTTGTACAAATGTTTTTGTTACTTTAAAACCTATTGGTTGTTGAGATGAATTTGAATAATCAACTATTGTATTTTTTATATTACGCATATCAATTTCATAATTTTTAAGAAGTATATATAATGCTAATTGTTCTGTATGACATAAACATTGAACAATTGCATTGATATAACTAAATGAATATAGTTCACATTTTATATATGAACTAAAGGAAGTTTTCAGACTGATTTTAGTAAAGAAAAATTTGTCTGCAAAGATTCTATGAAGCTAAAATATGGAATTTGGCCAAATTCACGTAACTAGTTTGCAATTCGATTATCATTCTCTGGGACAAATACACTTATCGACCCCCCCCCCCCCCCCTGTATTGCCCTAACCCGGCTAATTCGCCTCTGAGGGGCTCCTT